TATAGACTGGCTAAAATTTTCTAGGATTTTATATAAGTGGAATCATACAGCATGCATTCTTTTTTTGTCTAGTATCTTTCACTCAGAAGAAATATTTGATGATTCATTAATGTTGTTGCATGTATCAATAGTTCATTCCTTTTTAGTGTTGTGTAGTATTCCACTGGGTGGGTATAACATAAGTTGTTTATCCTTTCATTTGCTGATGGACGTTTGGGTTGGTTCCAGTTTTTGGCTGTGACAAATAAAGCTGCCCTGAACATTGATGCCTTAGCGGTTGTGCGGGCTTATGCTTTCATTTCCTCTGAGCACATACGTAGGAGTGAAATTACTCCTACCAGTCTGATAAAGTTAAATGTCCAGCATCTGCAAAGAATCTCAGATTGGCCCAGTCTTCCAGAATCTTTCCAGGATGCTCTTGGATTCTTGGGAAGTGTTTTGTTGAGGAGAAAACAGGTGGACATGCTCAGGTACCCTAGAAACAAATTGGTGGGAGTGCTTTGTAAATAACCATGGCTAAACGTTTTTTTTCCTTTGAGCCAGTGGTATATGGTCCTTTACAAGGTAACTATAAGGCTTATCAGCTAGTCATCAGCTTTGGCCTCCAGACTGCCATCCTGGGGCATAGCTGTGGCCAGATAAAAGGCCTTGTCCAGCTTCCTGTAAACTGAGGGGTTGGGCCTGGGAGAGATGTGAACACCTGGCTCACACCTGGCTCCAGATGCCAGGAGAGCTGAGCCACCACTGGTGGGCACTGTGGTGTCAGTTCCAGCTGTGAACAAACAGCAAACGCTCCTCACCACTCTAACCCAGGTTCCTGCCAGACTTTGCACATCATTCCATTTGGTGCCTCGGTACCTTCCCTTCTCCCAGCTCTGAGTCCTGGCACAGGAGTGGCTCACCTGGGGTACTCGGGGGATCTCCTTTTCATCTGGGTAGCTGGGCTCGACCTGGCTGAGGCTCAGCTGCTCTTATCTTGGAGGCTCTGAGAAGTAGCCTCCAGGGACCTGAATCCAAGAGGAATGAGGAATAGGGACCCATGGGTTTCTCAGCACCTCCAGTGACTTATTAATTGGTTAAATTTCCAATTAATCAACAGCCAGTTTTTGGGCAACGAAACTGTGCTAGGTGCTTGGGTTATAGGGGGAACAAATGCAGATGCCTTTGAGGTGCTTGTGGTCCAGAGGGCAGCCCAAGAAAAAGGCAAGGAATGGCACACTCACCGTGAGGAGATGTGTGCTATGACACATGCAGATAAGCTCCTGAGACTGAGGGAAGAGGAAGCTTACCGCATCCTGCTCTGTGCAGGAAGATGGCCAAGGTGGCCTTAGAGAGGTCTGTGCCCCCTGACCAAAGACGGCAGACACTGATGGGATCACAGCTGAATAACACAGTGCCATAAGGCTGGGTGAGAGGAAGGCTTTCTGCGGCTAGAACCCCCCCCCCACTTTTCTTGTTTCTTTCCTCTTCCTGATGTTGCTTCTCTTCTTTTATTCCCACAGGAACATGCCATTCTTCTCAGAAGACTTGACTGAGAAGAAAATGCAAATGTGTTTGAGCTGCATGTGCAAAAGTCATGACAGGGAAAGGGTGCGGGGAACAGAGCCCAAAATGGACTGAATGACAGTATTCATAGCAGCCAATATCTTTGGAGCGTGTAAAATGTGCCAGGTGCAAGGCCTAGTGCTTTGCCTATATGACCTCATTTAATCTCCCCAACAATAGGAGTGGGTATTATGATGATCTCAGTTTTACAGATGGGGAAACTGAGTCACCTGGGAGGTTTGTTTTCTCAGGGTCAGGGAACTCCTGAGATGGCAGTGCCAAAATGTGAATCTAAACTGTGTTGAAGGTGTGTACCATGTGCAGGGCAGCAGTGAGTATAGTGGGTGGGGGCTAACCCTGCCTGAGGGTCAGTGAGAGCTCCCCCAGGATGTGGCATTTGAGCTATAGGAAAAGTATGCCAGGCTAAGAAAATGGGTGCAGGTGATAAAGGGATTCAAGGAGAGGAGGATCTTTTTTTTTTCCCCAAAGTCAAGGTTCCAGGCTTAAAAGAGGAGGATCTTTGAGTGCAATGGCATGAAGGTCAGAGGAGCAATTCTCTAATGACTGGAGTGTGAGGTGCTCAGCAAGAGAGGCCTCTAGGTTAGGTAGCATCTGCACAGGCTACAATAGGCTGAAGACTGACAGGGTGGTCTATTCACTGACTCGGGTGCCTGTTCTGCTAGCTCTCTCACCTGGCTAAGCCTGCGTCTGGGTGACCAGGGAGGAAGAAAGAGCTGAGGTTCAAGATCCAGGGCATTTACGATCCAAGGCAGGGCGAGTTCTCATCATCATCATCATCATCACCATCATCACCATCATCATTATTATTCTTTATTCAAAGGAAATTTTGCATGAAAGTCTGAAATAAACCCAACAAAAGAGAAGCCGCTCTTCTTGAATCAGGGGTGGGGTGGGGCCCTGAACCCTGCCTGCTAGGCCACTTTATTCCCTCCTTCTTTCATCTCCCCAGCTCCCCAGAACACAGTCTGGTACCCAGCGGTTATCATTGTTACTGTTTCCAATGCTGCCCAGTGGAGGTCCGGTAGCTCTGACCCCACCTGGATATATCCTCTGGCCCTCTTCTCTCCAGCGTGCAGGCCAAGGGATGCAGCCTAATTTGGTCCCTGTCAGAGAAACTGATCTCCTTGCTCTCTACTCTGACCTTTGGGTCTTTTACCAACACCAGCTCTGGAGCAGGGCCAAGGGCCCAGGGCCTCTATCTGACCAATTGGACACTAAGCCATGAAAAACGAACTCCCCTATCAGATCCTGGGGCCTCTCAGGCTTCGGTCTAGGCTTGCCCTTCTGACCCAAGCTCCTGTCCTCCAGTTTCTAGGGCAAAAAGATGAGCAGGGCTGTGTACATCTCAGGGACACTTCAATCACCCCAACAGCATATGCTAGAACTAGACTTGGAAGAGAAAGAGAGAGACACCACTTAAAGGCAGGGGGAGAGTGAGTCAAAGGGCAGGTGAACAAGAAGCTGTTTTCTGCAAGGTCAGGGAACAAACTGCCATCACCCTGAATTCTCAGGGTCACATATTCATTTCCATTGCCCCAGGCCAGTGTGGACCTGCTCCACATTGTCTCCTGGCACCTGAGGACCTTAGTGGTGCAAGTAGTTTCTCTTCATACAAGCACATGATTGCTAAGCACCTAATGTATGCTCCAGCACTGTGCTTGGTGTTGGAAGACAGAGAGGGGAACCAAAAGCAAAAAGACACGTAGACCCAGGACTGTAAGATGGAAATATCAAGAGCCACCTCACAGAACGCGGAGAGGACTGGATGAATATTACATGTATATTCACCTAGCTCTAAACCCACTGCCTGGCAGGCTTTCAATAAACAGAGCTGTGAAATAAACAGGAAACTAATAGAAGTACTTGCTATGGGATCACAGAGGAGGGGGGAGCACTTCAATTAGGGTGGAGGATGGAGCTAAGCAAAGGGAAGAGGGGAAGATCTTATCTCTGGGGAGCAGCTGGAGCTGAGTCATACAGAATAAATGGGATCTCCCAAAGCAGAGAAGAGATTTGTTTGTAGAGTGGAAGAAGGATATGGAGAAGAGCCTTTCAGGCACGTGCAAAAGAAGGCAGGGATGTGAATGTCAGCCAGATTTCTCTGGTAAACTCCAAGCTCGAAGGCTCTGGCCTACATGATATCAGGATCCCTTCGACAAAGCAGTGTGTAATGAAGAGTTGCTTTAGACTCAGACAGACCAAGCTTCAAATTCTAGTGGTGTGGCCCTGGTGCATTTCTTAACCTTTCTGAATCTCAATTCCTCAACTTGAAAGGGGAGTTTGCTGTCTACTTTGCTAGACTCTTGTGATACAAGAGTGAAATGAATCCATGCAGTCACAGGATATGGCCCACGGCATTTTGCTCCTGTCTCCTCTGTGAGGAACAGAACCTGAGACGTGGACTTCGGGAAAATGGGGCATCAGGAGTAGTCGGTTCCAGTCCCCTCTCAGTGCGGAAGTCCCTCGGCAGCAGTGCCTCCCGGTGACTGGCCAGCCTCTGTGCACCACTTCAGCCTTGGGCAAAGGCTACTGGACCATTACAACCTTGACTTCAGTCATTTATGGCATCCCACTCTCACTATGCCCTAGGGGAGAGGTAAAAAGGAGAAGAGAGCAATTAGGAATGGTGACCACTGGCCCATGGATGCGGCATCTTAGGAGGGCCTCAGAAGCTGCTGATCCTACTCCTCACTTGTACAGGTGCAGAGGACTGTGACTTGCCCAAGGTCCCCTGAGTGAGTTACTGGCAGATCCTTCGATTTCCCTTGACAGGGCTGTTCTACAGCAGCCTTTGGCTTAGCTGGCTCCAGCCTAGTGACATCACAGGGGAATTGGCCGATCCCTGCAGGCTCTACCCCTGGGATGTAGGGCATTGTCCTTGGAGAGTCCTCCACTTTGTGTCACTTCCATCATCATTACTGACCTGGAATTCTGGAGGTGTGAGATGCACCAGCCTGAACTGAGTGCTGTGACTAAGGTCTTGTCCCTGTTTGGTCAGGGAGGCTGGGGCAGAAGGGGTAGACTGGAGCAGGCTGGTGGGACTAAACCCACTGATGGGGTTGAGATAGGCTGGCAGGAGCTGTAGGAAGGATATCGCACTGAGGAACCTGAAAGGTGTGCAGCTTCAGCTAAGAAGGTAATGCTGGAGGCTGGGCATAGGTAGCAAGGTATTCCCACAGGGCGGAGCCCAGAGACCCCTTGGAGTCCTGGCATCACGGAACCACCAGGCATCAACACTGGGGTATCTCTCATACTAGATCCTGAGGGGCAATCACTGGTAAGAGCAAAGCAGAACCTTAAGCCTCCTGCAGGAGGAACCAGCCTTTGGCTGGGTTCCCAGGTGGGCATTGGGCCCTAGGAACCAGGGAATGGTTAGTTGTGGCCCGGCTGAGGTGTTGCAAGGGCCAGGAAGTCCAGCTGTGGGGAGAGGGAGCTACAGATCCTGGGAACCATGCAGACCACAGGCAGGCTGAGACGGAAGTGGGAGGGCCTCCTGGACTCAGCCCCTGTCTCAGATTGACTCATTCAGTCCAATAGGGCCCTATTGGGCAGAGATCATGGTTCACAGCAGAATTAGGTGAGAGGTGAGATCCTGGAGTACTGGAGGGCATCCCGGACCAGCTATACTACTTAACTTGCTAGGCAAGCTTGGGTAATTATTTTAGCCTCTCTGAGCCTTGATCTTCCATCTGTAAATGGGATCATACCTGCTATGTCCTCCACACAGGTGCTTTGTGGGTTAAAATAAAAGGTATGCAGCTTCACACTGAAGTGACAAGCTGCCTCCTATCTCATTATGAGCCGTCCATCTGTGAGTCCCCTGGAGCAAGGACCTGGCCTCTGGCTTCCCCTGTGTCTCCCACAGTGTTCAGGACGGGGCTGTGTCCGGCTATGCAGACCGACTGAGAGGACGGGCCACAGCTGAGGCCAGCCTGCAGGGCCCTGGCAGCCGGCGAGGTTGCTGACGAGGGAACAGCCTGGTGATGGATGACACTGCCAGCCTTTGCCCATCTGGCAGCCCGAGCAATTTGCATAAAAACAAAGACAGCTCCAGCGGCATGAAATATTGATGCCCTGAGACTTTCCAGAGTGGCGTCTCGGTCTCAATCAGCAGGGGCCCGGCTCCTGGCCCCGTGGTAATGGCGCCTCCTGCCTGTTGAGTTTGGTTCCAGAGGGCTGCAGGGAGGAATAGTTGTCCTGGCCGAGAGGGCCATCTGGGAGTCGTTGTCGACATACATTAGTCTTGGGTTTCAGGTAATACTGACTTTAATCAAACTGGGTTGGAAAAAAACACGTTGGATCAGGTTCTGAACGGCTCAGTTTCTAGTCTGATGAAGGCAGATGGGAGCTCAGTTCTCTCAGCAGGCCCAGACCTCCCTCTCTGACCCTCACAAAGAAACCCACTGACCACATAGCAACCTGTCAAGAGTGACAATATGGGGAGGGGGAGACCCATCCCTGAGGAAGCTGTAAGATAGGGAAGGGTGTGATTATGGGAGTGCCTTCTCATCAGCATCCTGAAGGGGCCCACTAATGGAAAATGCCCACACAGTCCAGCAGTCTTGCAGGGCAAACTCTTGCCCCCAACATTTGCAGATCCCTCTTCTTACAACGGAACAGTGAGCAAGGCTGGAGGTGGCCCCCTTCCTTCCTCCCTTTCTCCCTTCTTTTCTCCCTCCCTCCCTCCCCTGAGTCCTAGAGTGGAAAGGGGAGGGTGCTTTAGGTACAGGCACATTTTGGGTTTCTGTCCTCAGGGCAGGGCAGGACTCTCTTTCTGTAGCTTGGCTTTTCCCAGGAGGTGGGGATGGTCACATAAAATCTGAGCTCCCTTCTCAGCTCTGTCGCTGCAGGCATTCCCTTCTGGCCCAGACCCCTCCATCTCCATCTGCCAAAAGAGTGTGAACATTCAGCTCCAGCCAGATTCCTACTGCCAGAGCAGGCCAGTCCTAATAGGTCTCTCCGTGTGCGCTCCTCCAGGCTGCTGGCCAAGGCTTAGTCATCTTTGTATCCTCAGCTCCTGGTGCACGGGAGCCACCTGAAAAATGTTGGATGAAATTAACAGAATTTTGGAGTGCGGGGTGGGTCAGGAACCCAGGCTGACCAATAGGAGAAAGCAATAGGAGAAAGGAAATATCCACAGGCCAATGGCAAAGACTGTCAGCTCTTGTTGGAGAGGTTTAGTAGGGGCAGCGGGCCTTCTCCTCTAAATCTGAAAATTCCCTGCGGTGGTTGGTTGATGAGGTTTAGTAATCTTCCTCTCTGGCCAGGGGTCCACCTTTCCATCAGAGCTGCATTAGGCCAGCATTTTGGGTCTTTTGTTTTTTATTTTCCTCCTGTCTAAAAAGAAATACATAGTCACGATAGAAAAATTATAAAAAGTAGAAGAGTATTAAAAAAACAACCAGAGTGTTCTCAACAAGTTGAGTCATTTCTTAACATTTAAAAAATAATCTGTATATTTTATTGCACTTTAGATTCTGGGGTACATGTGCAAAACATGCGGGATTATTGCATAGGTACATACATGGAAATGTAGTTTGCTGCCTCCATACCCCCCATCACCTATATATGGCATTTCTCCCCGTTATCCCTCCCCAACCGCCCTACCCTATTCTCCCCCAACAGACCTCAGTGTTTGATGCTCCCCTCCCTGTGTCCATGTGTTCTCATTGTTCAGCACCCACTTATGAGTGAGAACATGTGGTGTTTGTTTTTCTGTTCTTGTGTCAGTTTGCTGAGAATGATGGTTTCCAGATTCATCCATGTCCCTACAAAGGACACGAACTCATCCTTTTTTATGGCTGCATAGTATTCCATGGTGTATATGTGCCACATTTTCCTTGTCCAGTCTATCATCGATGGGCATTTGGGTTGGTTCTAGGTCTTTGCTATTGTAAACAGTGCCGCAATGAACAAATACGTGCATGTGTCTTTATAATAGAACGATTTATAATCCTTTGGATATATACCCAGTAATTGGATTGCTGGGTCAAATGGAATTTCTAGGTCCTTGAGGAATCGCCACACTGTCTTCTACAATGGTTGAACTAATTTACACTCCCAGCATCAGTGTAAAAGTGTTCCTACTTCTCCACATCCTCTCCAGCATCTGTTGTCTCCAGATTTTTTAATGATCGCCATTCCAACTGGCGTGAGATGGTATCTCAATGTAGTTTTGATTTGCATTTCTCTAATGACCAGTGATGATGAGCATTTTTTCATATGTTTGTTGGCCTCATAAATGTCTTCTTTTGAAAAGTGTCTGTTCATGTCCTTCACCCACTTTTGAATGGGTTTGTTTGTTTTTCTCTTGTAAATATGTTTTAGTTCTTTGTAAATTCTGGATATAAGCCCTTTGTCAGATGGGTAAATTGCAACAATTTTTTTCCCATTCTGTTGGTTGCCAGTTCACTCTAATGATTGTTTCTTTTGCTGTACAGAAGCTCTGGAGTTTGATTAGATCCCATTTGTCTATTTTGGCTTTTGTTGCCAATGTTTTTTGGGTTTTAGTCAAGAAGTCCTTGCCTATGCCTATGTCCTGAATGGTTTTGCCTAGGTTTTCTTCTAGGGGTTTTATGGTGTTAGGCCTTATTTTTAAGTCTTTATCCATCTGGATTTAATTTTAGTGTAAGGTGTCAGGAAGGGGTCCAGTTTCTGCTTTCTGCACATGGCTAGCCAGTTTTCCCAACACCATTTATTAAACATGGAGTCCTTTACCCATTGTTTGTTTTTGTCAGCTTTGTCAAAGATCAGATGGTTATAGATGTATGGCATTGCCTCCAAGGCCTCTGTTCTGTTCCATTGGTCTGTATCTCTGTTTTGGTACCAGTACCATGCTGTTTTGATTACTGTAGGCTTGTAGTATAGTTTGAAGTCAGGTAGCGTGATGCCTCCAGCTTTGTTCTTTTTGCTTCAAATTGTCTTGGCTATGCGGGCTCTCTTTTGGTTCCACATGAAGTTTAAGGTGGTTTTTCCCAGTTCTGTGAAGAGGGTCATAGGTAGCTTGATGGGGATAGCATTGAATCTATAAATTACTTTGGGCAGTATGGCCATTTTCACAATATTGATTCTTCCTAATCATGAGCATGGAATGTTTTTCCATCTGTTTGTGTCCTCTCTTATTTCCTTGAGCAGTGGATTGTAGTTCTCCTTGAAGAAGTCCTTTACATCCTTTGTTAGTTGTATTGCTAGGTATTTTATTCTCTTCGTAGCAGTTGTGAATGGCAGTTAGTTCTTGATTTGGTTCTCTTTAAGTCTCTTATTGGTGTATAGGAATGCTTGTGATTTCTGCACATTGATTTTGTATCCTGAGACTTTGCTGAAGTTGCTTATCAGCTTCAGGAGATTTTGGACTGAAATGATGGGGTCTTCTAAGTATACAATCATGTCATCTTCAAATAGAGACAGTTTGACTTCTTCTTTTCCTAACGGAATGCCCTTTCTTTCGTTTTCTTGCCTGACTGCTCTGGCTAGAATATACTATATTGAATAGAAGTGGCGAGAGAGGGCATCCTTGTCTAGTGCCAGATTTCAAAGTGAATGCTTCCAGTTTCTGCCCATTCAGTATGATATTGGCTGTGGGTTTGTCATAAATAGCTTTTATTATTTTGAGGTATGTTCTGTCGATACCTAGTTTATGGAGAGTTTTTAGCATAAAGGGCTGTGGAATTGTGTCGAAGGCTTTCTCTGCATCTATTGAGATAATCATGTGGTTTTTGTCTTTGGTTCTGTTTATGTGGTGGATTATGTTTATAGACTTGCTTATATTGAACCAGCCTTGCATCCCCGGGATGAAGCCTACCTGATCATGATGGATAAGTTTTTTGATGTGCCGTTGCAACAGTATTTTGTTGAAGATTTTTGCATCTATGCTCATCATGGGTATTGACCTGAAGTTTTCTTTTCTTGTTGAGTCTCTGCCGGGTTTTGGTATCAGGATGATGTTGGTCTCATAAAATGATTTGGGAAGGATTCCCTCCTTTTGGATTGTTTGGAATAGTTTCAGGAGTGGTACCAGCTCCTCTTTGTATACCTGGTAGAATTAGGCTGTGAACCCATCTGGACCTGTGCTTTTTTTGGTTGGTAGGCTATTAATTGCTGACTCAACTTCAGTCCTTCTTATTGGTCTATTCAGGGCTTCGGCTTCTTCCTGGTTTAGGCTTGGGAGGGTGCAAGTGTCCAGGAATTTATCCATTTCTTCCAGGTTTACTGATTTGTGTGCATAGAGTTGTTTGTAGTAATTTCTGATGGTAGTTTGTATTTCTGTGGAATCGGGGGTGATATCCCCTTTATTGTTTTTTATTGCATCTATTTGATTCTTCTCTCTTTTCTTTTTTATTATTTTGGCTAGTGGTCTGTATATTTTGCTGATCTTTTCAAAAAACCAGCTCCTGGTTTTATTGATTTTTTGAAGGGTTTTTTGTGTGTGTTTCTATCTCCTTCAGTTCTGCTCTGATCTTAGTTATTTCTTGTCTTCTGCTAGCTTTTGAGGTCTTTTGATCTTCTTCCTGTAGCTCTTTCAATTTTGATGATAGGGTGTCAATTTTAGATCTTTCCTTGCTTTTCAGGTGGCCATTTATTGCTATAAATTTTCCTCTAGACACTGCTTTAAATGTGTCCCAGAGATTCTGGTACATTGTGTCTTTGTTCTTGTTGGTTTCAAAGAACATCTTTATTTCTGCCTTCATTTCATTGTTTATCCAGTCAACATTTAAGAGCCGGTTGTTCAGTTTCCATGAAGTTGTTTGGTTCTGTGTTAATTTCTTAATCCTGAATTCTAATTTGATTGCACTATGGTCTGAGAGACTGTTTGTTATGATTTCCATTCTTTTGCATTTGCTGAGGAGTGATTTACTTCCAATTATGTGGTTAGTTTTAGAGTAGGTGTGATGTTGTTCTGAGAAGAATGTATATTCTGTGGATTTGGGGTGGAGAGTTCTGTAAATGTCTATCAGGTTTGCTTGGTCCAGATCTGAGTTCAAGTCCTGGATATCCTTGTTAATTTTCTGTCTTGTTGATCTGTCTAATATTGACAGTGGAGTGTTAAAGTCTCCCACTATTATTGTGTGGAAGTCTAAGTCTCTTTGTAGGTCATTAAGAACTTGCTTTATATATCTGGGTGCTCCTGTATTGGGTGTGTTTATATTTAGGATAGTTAGCTGTTCTTGTTGCATTGATCCTTTTACCATTATGTAATGCCCTTCTTTGTCTATTTTGATCTTTGTTGGTTTAAAGTCTATTTTATCAGAGACTAGGAGTGCAACTCCTGCTTTTTTTTGCTCTCCATTTGTTTGGTAAATCTTCCTCCAACCCCTTATTTTGAGCCTATGTGTGTCCTTGCATGTGAGATAGGTTTCCTGGATACAGCACACCAATGGTTCTTGACTTTTTATCCAATTTGCCAGTCTGTGTCTTTTGACAGGGGCATTTAGCCCATTTACATTTAAGGTTAATGTTCTTATGTGTTAATTTGATCCACCATTTTGATGCTAGCTGGTTGTTTTGCCCATCAGTTGACACAGTTTCTTCATCATGTTGATGCTCTTTACCATTTGGTATGTTTTTGGAGTGGCTGATACTGGTTGTTCCTTTCTATGTTTAGTGCTTCTTTCAGGAGCTCTTGTAAAGCAGGCCTGGTGGTGACAAAATCTCTCAGCAATTGCTTGTTTGTAAAGGATTTTATTTCTCCTTTGCTTATAAAGCTTAGTTTGGCTGGATATGAAATTCTAGGTTGAAAGATTTTTTCTTTAAGGATGTTGAATATTGGCCCCCACTCTGTTCTGGCTTGTAGGTTTTCTGCGGACAGATCCACTGTGAGTCTGATGGGCTTCCCTTTGTGGGTAACCTGACCTTTCTCTCTGGCTGCCCTTAGCATTTTTCCCTTCATTTCAACCCTGGTGAATCTGATGATTATGTGCCTTGGGGTTGCTCTTCTTGAGGAATATCTTTGTGGTTCTCTGTATTTCCTGGACTTGAATAATGGCCTGCCTTGCTATGTTGGGGAAGTTCTCCTGGATAATATCCTGAAGAGTGTTTTCCAGCTTGGATTCATTCTCTCTGTCACATTCAGATATACCTATCAAATGTAGATTAGGTCTTTTCACATAATCCCATATTTCTTGGAGGCTTTGTTCATTTCTTTTCACTCTTTTCTCTCTAATCTTGTCTTCTCATTTTATTTCATTGAGTTAATCTTCAATCTCTGATATCCTTTCTTCTGCTTTGTCGATTCCGCTATTGAAACTTGTGTATGATTTGTGAAGTTCTCATGTTGTGTTTTTCAGGTTCATTAAGTCATTTATATTATTCTCTAAGCTGTTTATTCTCTTTAATATTTT